AAGGCTTGGCGGCTGCCACTCACTCACTCGCTCGCCCACCCGTCCCTCCATCCCTGCACCCGGGCTCTCCCCTCCGTCCCCGGCGCGGGGGCTGTCGGGATCCGTAGTCCCCTCGCCCTTGGGCTCCGCGCCCGCGCGGGGTGCGCAAACTACGTTTCCCAGTGTGGCCTGGCGGGCCGGGCGTTTTGTTTGAAGCGCTCTTCTCCCGGCCATGGAATGAGCGCAGCGGCGGCGGCCGGGCGGGCAGGGGCTCTTCCGCGCAGACCCCGCGCAGCCTGCCTGCGCCCCCCGGAGATCGGGCGGCAGGATGGAGCCCGGGGACCCCCGCGGAGGCAGAGCGGCGGAGGCGGAGGCTGCCCCCCAGGTAGGGCTGCGTCGGGGTTTTTTTATTTTTGCAATGCTGCATCCGCGCCGGAGGGGACGCATCGGACCGCGGGGAGACCCCTTGGTGGGCGTGCAAGGCAATGCATGCGTGCAGGCGTTGCATGGAGTGCAGTGCAATGCAATGGCAACGCGGCGCCCTGCATGCATGCATGCAACTTCCACCGGCGCTCCGGACTTGGCAGGTGAGGGGGGTCCCCAGTGGGCGGCAGAGAGAGCCGGGAGGGCGAAGGGGAGCCGGGGGGGAGCAGCGCTGCTCCCCGAGCCGAGCCCGGGGGGAAACTTCGGCGTCGTTGCGCCGGGTGTTGGAAGCGGAGGCTGGCGGGGGCCCCTCACCTGCAAAACCTGGTCGCCTCTCATATATTTCGTGCATTGCATTCATCGCCCGCTTTCTCCTCCAAGGAGCTCCCGGGGGCGCGCGTGGTTCTCCCCGTGTTATCCTCGCAACAACAGCCCTGCGAGGTGGGTCAGGCGAGTGGCCCAAGGGAGCACCCAGGGATTGTCCTGGCCAGGTGGGGTGATTTGAACCCTGCTCTCTGCCCGGTCTTCGTCCTCATTTAGCCCCCACATGTGCATGACTGTGCATGACTGAGGTTTTCCCCCCTCGTCTTGGCTATGGTGTGAGTCTGTGCTGTTAATTAATGGGGTTCTGCCTTCGGAGAAGATGAGCCAGCCCTCAAGGAGGTGATTATGTAATTTGCTAGCAATTCATGTCCCTCCCGGCGTGACACTGCGCGCTGACGTCACGGGGCTGTAATGGTGGTGTGCCTCGAGATTTTTTTCATGAAACAAGTGTGCCTTTGCCCAAAAAAGGTTGGGAAACACTGCTCTATTCCTTCAATATTTTGTCCTTTCAGGCTTTTTATTTTGGTGTTTCCATGGTGCTTTATATGCTGCCTCAATTTCAAGGTTGTGAAGTCTCTCTTATTTAAAACACAGATTCTGCTTTCAGGTATTTTTTTAATATATCAGGGATACCCAGGGAGTCTTGGGTGATGGATGCTGGATTGCATTCCATTTAACTTTCTATCAAGTTGTTTAGGCTAAGATGGAAGGGCCTCTCCAAGGCATCCTACCAGAGAAGGCACTACATGGCTCAGTAGAGAGCTAAACTCATATAAGAAACATCTCCAGCAATAACAAATGACTGTTCCATGAGACAAACAGAAGCCATTCAACAATTGGGAGTGCAGAAAACTGACTATATGATTTGTATCCACTAAGTTATCTTCAAAGTAGACCCAATGGCCATGGCAAAATTAAGCCAATTGACTTCAATGTGTCTACCCTGCAAATGGCTTAGCGGGAGGTAACCCTTTGGTTGAGATCCAATGTGTTTAGTGCAAGAGGATCGAAAATAGGCCTTGTTGTGTAAGCACTAGCACACAAGCTTAACTGTCACCTGCTGTAATTATAGCCATGGTTTGCTAGGACGACAGGGAGAAACGTGCTAAGAGGAAGGCACACTTGGCAAACCCTCACCATGATCAACTCCTGCCTGGAAACCTATGTCCCCACTGTGGAAGGACATGTGGATCCAGAACTGGTCTCCACAGTCACTTACGGACTCACTGCTAAAACCCTGTTTTGGAAGACAGTTTTACTCGGCTACAAGTGATCGCCGAAGAAGAAGAAGAAGAAGAAGAAGAAGAAGAAGAAGAAGAAGAAGAAGCAACAGCAGCAGCAGCTAGGGGTTGTGAAACATCTTTTGCAAGTACAAGACAATGATTGGTTTTGCCTGTTGCAGCACATTAAGAACAAGGCTTCTGGTAGTGGAATGGCTGTGGTATGAGAAAACTTCCCTAATGACAACTCTTGTTTTGAAAGACCTTTAATAGCAAATTTTAAAGCTTATTCTTGTGCAGGGACCTAGCTCAAAAACTATCTAGAGCAGGGGTTCCCAATTAGACCCCGTTTTTCAAAAGCCAAGCCATGGATTTCCTACTTTTGAAAATTTTGATAAATATATGGTGGATGATGTTATGTGAATGGTCCCACAGACCAACTGGGTGTGCTAAGAGGGCCCCCAATTGGGAATCACTGATCTAGAACATAAATGTTGTATGTATTGTGATTAATTAATAATAATAAAAACTTGTCATAGTAATCCCATTGTATCTAATTACTATGGGAGTATGGGACAGTCTTGCATGTGGAACTCTTAATCTCCAGTTGACACCAAACAATGACCCAATCCCAGGATGAATTAGCCAGAGACAATGCAAATTCTTCACCAGGACCAGATTTAGGAGCATGCAACCCAGGCAACAGCCAGAGATGCTCAAATTGAGTTTAATCCAACAGCAGAAATGGGGGGGGGGGGAGGCCCAGTTCGTCTTCTCTAAAAGTGTAGTAGTATTTATACTGGTCAACTCAATGTTGGGACAATGTCCAGGAGCTTGATATGACATTTCACTTATTCTTAAAAATGAAAAAGATTCTAGGAACTTTGAATAAACAATTTGGTTTTTAACTGCTTATATATTATTTATGTTTATATAAATTATTTACAACCGGCTCTCCGTGGTTCACACAATCCCAGAGAGAAAAACAACATCAACCTACAGTAACACAATGATTCATTTAAATACAACTTAATATAAAACTAGTCAATATGCTAGCAAGATAAATACATCTGCCAAGCAAGAGGCGCCACTTTGGTCCAATGCTTGGCTGAATATCCATGTTTCTACCACTTGTCAAAATGTGAATAAATACAGATTTACAAACTGATTATTTTATATGACACGGATAACACCTGCCTGTAAATAATACAACTAAGTCATGAAATGGGTTCCCAGGGGAATAAAAAACCAACATGTTCAAAAATTATAGAAATTGAGACAATGCTGAAGCTGCTCTTAATCTGGGGTGTCATTTCATCATGGTAGCCCTGAGTCTAGATTCCCATCAGCCCTAGAGTTTTATGAAGCATACAAAGCTAAGAGGTGACTTAAGAAAGTTGCCATTAGCACCAGAGGCTCACCCTGACGAACAAGAGAGAGTAACTTTACAAGAGATTTACATTCCAGTTTCATAAAGTACCCGGAATCTGTTAGAAATTCACCAGCAAACATATGCCTGTGCTTGACATGAATGGGAGCTCAAATTGTGTTTTAGAAACCACAAAGCTCTTGTCATAGTTCTCTGCTATATCTGTTGATATCTTATAGTCCTTGGAAGATGAAACTGCACATTTCTATCTGAATGGGGATGTGCTTAAATATATTTTTAAGCATTCAATCAGATGTATTATTTATGCATTTTAAAAACCCAATACATGGCATCAGGGTTACCCAACCCTCTTTTTAATATTATGCTTATTCCAATATCATGGGCAAAATTACTACGTGACATAAACAGTACAGTAGTGCAATTGTTAACATAATTGCAGTGCAATTCTTGTTATTTTTTTCCAATGAGATACTGTTGCCCTCTGCTGGCTTTTATTATGTATGCAGACATTAAAATAATCAGAAAATGCCTAGCAAAAAAAAAGTCTGCACTCATATCTCAGTACCACAGACAGATAGGATGTTCATGTCACTGATTATCCATGAGCAACACTCCCTCCTAGTCTTTTGCTACTGCAAAATAACTATTACTATTCCCCACAATACCAGAACCCCTTAATACATGCAATAAATCCTTTCTTCCTAGAAATAATTATGTGTGGGGTGGTGGAGAATAGTCTACTGGTATGAATTTAGCCCTCGTGTTTTATTTTCCCAGCATTCTGCTATTCTGAGATCAGCTTGGGTAACATTCTTCTTTTGGTAGTTCTGCATTTCTGGGCTGGCTTAAGGTTAGGCAGAGAGCTCTCAATAAAATTCTGCTATTTTCCATAGCAACAGGACTTACAGGAACATGGTATCTTTTAGATTTCAGATGAAGACATGTGCTTGCAGCCAGCAGGAGATCTGCACTCTCTCCCATACAAAGCACTGCTGTGTTCAGCCACAGGGATGAGAAATCAGTGGCCTCCCACATATTGTTGTGACTCCCCCTGCAGTGCAGCACCCAGAGCAGGCAAATCGGTTTAGCTACCCTAAAACCATCTCTGTAGGAGTCCTGTCCTCATTTTCACATGGACACCCTACAGGAAAATTCGGGGAAATAATAGTCTCAGGCCAAACAGCAGCTAACTGATCATACTTAGGGGATAACTGCTAGCCACTTCAAGTCAACAAACAGCTAGCTTGTAAAAGCATTACACTTCAAGAAAACTAATGTCTTGGCTGCCTCTTTTATATGATTTTCCTTTCCTTTTCTGTATTTTCATGTTTTGCATGACTGGAGCAAGAAATTGAGGGTTTTCTTTTTTCTTTTTTAATGTATGGAGAAAATTAGCAAAGGAGGGTGCTGTGTGAAACTCATTGTAAGAACTGGTTTACACACATGCATTTTAAAAAGCTTCCCTAGCAGTTGTTGTTGTCTAATCCCCTTATATATTTAGGGTTTCTGTCTCTGATGTTTTATACCAATGGAAACCCAAACAGTTGCATTCTCTTGATGAACTTTCCATCGTTCTTAAAAATGTTGTTGTTACCATTATTTTGCAGCTACAGCAAAGGAACAGGATGCAAGCTGATGCAGGAAAAAGGTCAGCGTAAAAATGTTCCTTCCCTCCATAACTGGGAAGAATCTACCAATATTTCTTGCTGCCATTCTGCTGTTCACATCTGACCTGGGGCAATTGTCCATGCTTAGGCAGGGTCACCCAGGCTAAGATGCAGAGTGCTACAGTGTGCTAAACGCTAGACAAAAGCACTTTGCTGGGCGTGATTTATTGTAGCAACAGGCCTTGGCAACAGCTTAAGTCCATAGTGATGGTTTCTGTGAAAAACAGGAGGCTGAGCTCCTTGTTCTGCTTCCAAAGAAGAGCTTGTCACAACATGGGTTGCAGCACTTCCAGCAGGGCAACTGTCAAGGAACCATCATCCAATAATCCACATCAGAGCAGAGAAGTCAAAAAGCAGGTAATATGTTGCTTAGATTTCTCTACTTCCACAAATGGTTACTTTCCAAGATCAGTGTTGCCATGCTGAGGCTTCCTTTAGATGGGAGATCACTAGAGAATGGTGGTATCTCTATCATGTCTGTCTTATTTACACATACAGTGTAGCACAATGGAAGCAAATAGACTCCTGTAGGAGGCAGCAAAATCTCAAGGACCACCTCTACCCACATGAACAAGTCCAGGCCCTGCCTTCAGTCTTCATCAGAGGCCCTTTCCCACATGCCTCATCTGACGTGCAGAGGTGGCAACATGAAAATGGGATTTTACAATGGTGGCCCCCCACCCATTTATCCCTTTACTGTGCCACTCATCTTTTTAGTGGGGTTGGGTGGGATTTGTCCTTTTTGTTGCATTGCTAGATGAGCACTTTAGGAAATTTTGGTGTTGTACTTGATTCTTTTCTTCGGCTTTTAAATTGATGCTACCTGTCTGCAGTATATCTTGTTAAGTCACACGATTGCTTTATACATTAAATGTCTCAAACAATGAGAGTAAACAAACACCCCTCCTGCATCAGCAGTAGAGGAGAGATTGGTTTGCCTCTATTCTCTCTCACGGCGCAGGCTGAAGCCCAGACTGCCACAATTACAGCATTGATCAACACTGAATTAAAATGGATTTACCCAACACAGCTGATTAGAATCACCTGTGCTGAAAATGTATAGAACACAATGCAGGTGCTACAGGAAGTTATGTTTAACGTAAGAACATGAGAAGTGCTCCACTGGAACAGACCAAAGGCCTGTCTATTCTAGGATCCAGTTTCCCCCAGTGACCAAACAGATGCTATGGGAAGAACAAATGCAGGATGTAAAAGGGATAAACGTTCCTAGTTAATGTAACAAAAACTGATTTTGGAGAAATGAACCCTGTAACCATGATCATGGTTGCTATCATGTGTTAGGCATGGTGTTCCATTTTTCTAGCCTCCTTTACTTCCAGTATTTTCCTGCATCCCCCCCTCCAACTTGGTCTTTTCTTATTTTTCCTACTGTGAGGGGAGTGTGGGGACAGAGGAATGGACTGTTATGCAGTGTTGCATGTAATCACTGTACAGATTTGTGCAGTTCTCTGCAAAAAAATATTAGGTAGCAGTGCAGCAATGGCAAGACTAACGAGCAAAACCTATGTCAATAGGAGCTGGGTTTGCCTGTGTGGCTTGGAAGAATCTACTGCTGCATCAGCAAGTATAATTTAGCTGCAATATATGGTCAGAGACAATGCTCTGCTATTCAGTGCAATGCACATTTGCAGTGCAAGCAAACCAAGGGTGATGAGATGCAAAGCAGGCCAGGATTAGTGAATGGGGCTGCAGTGAAGCAGCCAAGTTTACAATAACCTTGATTACTTTTACAACTATCACCACTGTCATACCAGGGCAGGGGGCACTAATCTTCCTCAGCCCTTCTCTCCCTCTGTGGCAAGCTTCAGGAGAACAGAATAGACTTAAACAATTGTGCAAAGAACACCAGTAAACTCAACAACTGGAGTTTGTTCTATACTGTATAGATTTTGTGAAGATAAATGCTAATATCAATTTTTCCCCAGGCTGAAAATGATCCACTTACTGGAACAGTTAACACTGTCTCCCAAGGTGGGTCAGTTGCTGAAGATTATTCCAGTGAAGGAAGGCTGCCAGACAGCGGTACAGGAAAGCTACCACCAGCTAATGAACAAAATACAGGTGTGAATTACTAGCATCTGAGTAGCATAAAGCAGTGTTTTATGTTCGGTAGCAGGTAGAGAATGGCTAAAAGCCAGAGAGCCTAGGGCTTGCCGATCAGAAGGTCGGCGGTTCAAATCCCCGCGATGGGGTGAGCTCCCATTACTTGGTCCCTACTCTTGTCAACCTGGCAGTTCAAAAGCACACCAAAAAGTGCAAGTAGATAAATAGGTACCGCTCTGGCGGTAAGGTAAACGGTGTTTCTGTACGCTGCTCTGGTTCACCAGAAGCAGCTTAGTCATGCTGGCCACATGACCCAGAAGCTGTCTGCAGACAAACGCTGGCTCCCTCGGCCAATAAAGCGAGATGAGTGCCGCAACCGTGACTGGACTCAATAGTCAGGGGTCCCTTTACCTTTACCTTTATGTTCAGTGCACATTTTGCATTGTGTCCACTGATTTTTTTTAAAGGCCTGTTATTGTCTAGATGTTTCATCTGTTTATTTTCTTTCTGGTTTACTTCTTCTTGCTCACACTCTTGATGCATATACAGTGGTACCTTGTCTAGCGTCCGCCTTGTTGAGCGCCCATTCTGTTGAACATCCACAGTAAACCCGGAAGTACCGGAATGGGCTACTTCCGGGTGCACTGCTCATGTACAGAAGTGCTAAATCATGCTTTGCGCATGCGCAGAAGAGCAAACCGCTCCGTGTGCAGATGCGGTGCTCTGTCCAGTGTCCTTTTCAGCCAGCGACCGGGGCTCTGGAATGGATCCCAGTCACAAAATGAGGTACTACTGTACAGCCCACAGTAGCAAGGAGCTGCTCATTGATATGAATAGGAACACTGGAAGGTGCCTTCTACCAATTCAGACCATTGGTCTAGAGTAGACTCTATCTAGCTTAGTACTGTCAACACTGATTGGCTGTGGCTCTCCCCAGGGCCAGACCAAGAAACTGTGCTGCCTGAGACAAAGGACAAGATGGTGCCCCTTTACCATTTTTATGTATAGAAACCAACGTGATAGTGTCTTTCACCACACCAGAGGCCCCAGGAAAGGCCATGTGGAACAGAGGGGAATGGCTGAGGGACTTGGGAAGAACTGTAAAGGACTGCTGCTACTACCCAACAGCCTTCTGAAGTGGTTTCCTCATTCTGCCCAATGGTAGGGCCAGTCCTGAACTCCCCAGGGTTTTAGTGTGGAGTCTTTCCCAGCCTTACTTGGAGAAACCATGGTTTCAACTTGGGACCTTTTGCATTAAAGCATGTGTTCCTGTTCCAGCATGCTTATTGAAATGACCACTGGAAACAATTGGGAGTGCCTAGCTGTCAGTATTGCTGAGATGAACTGTTTGTGCATAAACTGAAAAATTCAGAAAGATGTGCACTAGAATGCACAGGAACAATAGCGGGGAACTGAAAAGAAATCAGACAAGGAACAGTGATGTGGGCACTAGTTGAAATATGCAGCAGGCTGAACGCATTCCCATTTGAACCAAGGTCTATAGCATGACATCATATCCTGAGATGTTTTGCCGTACAAACCATGCTGATTGGAATGGGACCCAGGACAGTAACTTAGGATAACAATTATGTTCATGATCATGTCTTGTCTGCAGAACCTAATAGGCATCTGATTGACCAATGTGAGAACAGGATGCTAGACTAGGTCTGCTGATCTGTCTCAGAGAGAGAGCTCTTCTTGTGTTCAGATATAACAGGGGGTACTAGAAGCAGGAAAATGGAGGCTGATTCAAAGTATGGCAGATTTTCCTCTTGCTTAAATTTAATAGAAGCCCATTTCAAAGGAAGCCAAGATAAACTATAAATAGTTTAAGAGGATCTAAAGATAGAATATGAGTCCACAGAAATTGAATACCATGTGCAGGCTAAATATTTTTGGCTGGTTGAAGATGGTGTGAATGATGCTGACTTTTTACTGTTATAACAGAGTTGCTCTAAAGTTTCTAGATACATGCAGTTCCCACTTCACTATGCGAAAATTCACTTATCTGAAATGAGGAATTAGTACTCAAAACTCACCATACATACCATAGATTCAGCTATCTGAACAGAGAGCATTTTTTACTTTCTCGCTTGCCTTTCGCTGGTTGGTGGTGAGGGCAGGAATGGAGGAGGGGAATGATCAGACAAATCAGAGAGCATTTTTTCCTGGATTTTCCCATGGGTATTTTGGCTTTTGAGGGTCAACATTCCATGGTTGGGAACGCATTTGAAATTTCCCCATGCGAATCAATGGAAATTGTCAACTCATTATATGAACACTCACCTAATGAACGATTTCCAGAGAAGATACTGAATTCAGTATTTTGCTTTAGCAGATTTAGGTTATAGTGCACAATTCTCCCCTCCCCCAACTTGACTCCCCTGTTCTTCATATTATGGACCTTATAAAACAAAAATATGAATTAATTCAGAGGACTGAAACTTAACAACGACGTTTAAAGAAATGCCCTTGTGTTGCTTTTTATTATGCTTCTAAAAATAAAAAACCTAATTTAGAAAACTGCCGTCATATCAAAAAAATAATGATTTAACATTTATGTTTGTGAAGACATACACAGAGGTGGACTTTCCAAGAAACCAGTGAGCTTAACAGAAAGAGAAAGACAGACATCATCAGACATACTGGAGGAGCTTCGGATGCAAGGAATAATCAAGACCTCAAGTGCAAACTCTAATAACAGAGCAGGAGATGATGCCACAGTAAGTAAATGTCAAAACTAACAGAAATACACTTTCCAGTCTGAGTTGATATTTTCTGCAGTGAACTATGGGTTACTCCTGCAATGGCTCTTTCTTGTGGAATTGAGAATTTATTTAATTAAGCTGTTTATGTAATGTATGAGAAATATTATATTATATTATATTATATTATTATATTATATTATATTATATTATATTATATTATATTATATTAAACATCCCTGTGACTATCTCTGGTGAAGATTGGTATAAAAAATCTCTACATAAATACATTTATTATATTTATTTCAATCAATTTATTTCTGAAGGTCTCCTAATCCCTTTCTTTTTCGCTGCCCCTTATATCTAAAACTCCTTCCCAAAACACCCTCAAACCTTGCAGGGCTTCTTGTAATGATTAGTCAGTTTTTTCTTTTCAAAAAATGAACTCAAAGTGACTTGCAAAAGACACAAGATGAGAAAATAAATATAAAACAAGAATTAAAGCAACCTAAAATACAACAAATATACAAATCCAACTCAACCCCATGCCACTAAAATATGCAGAGAACTAAATTCCAGAAACCTGAGTGAATAAAAATGTTTTTACTTGGCACCTAAAAACAGATAGTGAAGGCACCAGGCGTGCCTCTCTGAAGAGAGCATTCCACAACCGGGGAGCCACCACTGAGAAGGCTTGTTCTCATGTTGCCACCCTCTGCACCTCCCTTGAAGGGGGCACACAGTGAGGGACCTAAGATGAAGAATGCAGGGTCCAGTTGGTTCATGTGAGGAGACATGGCACCTGAGGTATTAGGGTATGCTTTTTCTGTTTGGCATTTTAATCCAAATTGGCTTTCATTGACAAAAGAAACACTCTGTATAAAGTTGACATGAACTGGAAAAAATGCAGGAGATGGAATATAAGATTCAAAAATAGTAGCAAACAAGTTAAATCCTAACATTGCAGATAACATTAACAAGACTCGGAGAACTGTATGTACAAAAGTAACCTAAACACAACTAAGTAACTATGCATGTTTACTCTGAAGTATATTGTAATGTGTTAAAATATATTTTCATTATTTCTCTTTCTATTTGTTTGGTTCTTTTCAACATTATTTCAAATACTGTGATTTAATTTATTCACATGCATGCACAGAGTAGAATAAGGTAATTCCCCTTTGAAAAACAGACTTCCTTCACGGACATACATAAAATTTTACTATTTCTACAGTTGATAGATACAGGAAATCCACCAAAGAAACCACCAGCCAAACTGGAAAAGCTCGAAATCAAAAGGAAGCACATAATTTAAACAATAGAGGACTCTGAAAACAAGCCATGTGTTGAAAAGAGAAGAATCCACTAATCTGACTACATCATTCTAGTATCCGAATACCTAACGATCAATAATGTATGTAACATCACAACGTATCTTTGAATTAAGAAAGCTTCTGTTCCCCATGTTACTACTGAACTTGGCTCTTACTGGAAGAGGTGTTTCTAAACAAGTTAACTGACAGAGGCTAAAACAAATTTGAAATTTTCCCCCTTCCTGCCTTCCCTCCATCCTATGATCTGATTAAATTCAACATGCATCCAGTGAAATAGACTCTAGTCCCAAACTGTAGTGTCACAATACGTGTTAGGTCATTAAGGTGCCACAAGGCTTTTTGTTGTTCCTGCTTCAGCATGCAATGTACAGTCGTACCTTGGTTTTCGAACAGCTTAATTTACAAACAACTTGGAACTCGAACGTCACAAACCTGGAAGTAGGTGTTCTGGTTTGCGAACTTTGCCTCAGAAGCCAAACAAGCAGGACGACTTCTGCAGCTTCCGATTGGTTGCAGGACGCTCCTGCACACATTCTGTTCGAAAACCAAGGTGCAACTGCACTGATAGAGCTGTAACTCTGACAGGAAGGTCAACAGCTTCTAACGACAGTCTTACTCAGGTAGTCTTAACGTGGGTAAAACTCAAGCATGGGGTTGGGAAAATCAATACTGCTGTGGTTGACCATGACCTTCACATATTCAAAGTGTTTTTTTCATGCTGAGCATGCATGCATACAAGTTCTATGCACAGAGGCTGTCCCCATGCACCCTTCACAATAAAGGGTCCTGGATTATATATACAGGGCCTATGCACCTATAAACAGCGTTTGAAACTCCCATTGTTCTAGGCGCATTTTGTGACAAGGAATTTCATTTAAGCGAGCAGTTTCTGAGCTCTAGGCGCAGTACTGAGCCTAAGATTTCAGATTAAAATTGCCACTGCTGTAAGAAAAGGAGGACCCTTTTCTGCCTCCCCACTTCCAGCCACTCTGATGACTGGAAAAGGGACCCTCATAAGACTATTAGGGGAGCGGGCACGGGAAGTATGGTTTTGTTTTTGCAGTCTTCAGATGAGGACTAGACCATGTGAAAAATGAACATAATATTTTAGCTGCAGTTCATTCATTTTCTGCTTTGTATTCTTGTTATAAAAAAGTGTGCCTAGTAGACACTCCGTTGTGGCGCCCATAACCTAGGTTTAGGGTGCCATTTACCTCCTAGCTTTCATATCTCTGTTTCTATAAATTGTATGCCTGCAAGCTCTGTGCTAAAAGCAATGATTAGCACATTGAGGTAAGGGCGGGGCCTACCTTTGCAACAGCCATGTCTCCCCTCCACATGTTAATTATATTCACATTAAGAATTTGTCTGTGGTGCTAGCCTATGCGTATGCATGTCTCTACAAATGTTGTATCCCTACCCCATTTAAAGAGGCATCTCTTTTCAGACAAGAGAAGAGCAACTGAAAAAGGAATTGCTGACTGGCAGACCATCACCACTAACATCCCATGAAAGCAGAACTACAGGGAGTGACATAGACTGTTCAGCTTCTGAAGCTGAAAAAACTTCTAATACTTTTCAGTTGCTTTCCTTAAATCTGGGTTCAGGAAGCTGGATAGAGAAAGAAGACTGGGATGATAATGTAAATGGCAATTTTGAAGGTTTCACTATGGTGGAGTCAGATGTCACTTATAATATGGTAAATGAAGCATTTTAATCAGTACAATTTCTTTCAAACATATTTGAGCTATGGAAGTTAAATCTCTAGGTTTTCACCTGCATTAAAATAAACGTACTAAAAACCAAACGAAAACATTTGATTATGGTTTAATTTGATAGGATATTTTCAATTTCCTTCCCCACAGACAAATAAGAATATGATGTAACTCATTCTAGCAGGATTGTTTATTATTTTCAAATACGAAGAAATTGATACAGTTTGTAAGTGAATAAATATTCAGAGTTAATGAAGCAGAATAACAAACTTGAAATAGACCTTTAAAATGGTCTCATTGTTGACTGTTTCCACTTTAGAGCAAAAGAAAACTTTGCCATCCTAATCACTGAGGTATTGATAAAAGGAGGGATAAACAGTGCAATCCTACGTATGTCCACTCAGTCAGAAATAATTGTATTGTTGCAGTGTTAGCACTAGGGCTACCAATGAACTATGTACCGAAACATCAGTTAAACAATTTAGATTTTAAATAGATAAATTTGCTGGGACCCCCGGAGGAGAGACAGCGAAATGAACCGATAGAGCAGAGTCTTTCCCATTTGTACATAACTGTTAGCTCCATTATTAGCATAATCAGCCTTACTTCATGTCCACTGGTGGCTACATTAACAGAAGCTATCCAACAGTTGGCTGTTCCCAGACTGAACGTTCTAGAATTCAACGTGAAAGCAGGCAAGCCAGTAGTGTTGATCCAGCAAGGGCAATGCCTAGGAGGACACAGGCCTCTCTACCCCCTTATTGTCCTTCTTGATGCAGCCTTGCTTCTACAAGGGAGTGGGAGGCAAACATCTGTAGTATCCAGGATAACATGTCCAGCATACACTGCTAAATAAAGACATGCTGCTGTCAGCAGTGCCAGGACCAGTCACGGTTTGCTGAAATTGGGAGATTAGTTCCTTTCACAATACCAGGAGAATTGTGTTGTTTTTTGGCATGTGTGTGTGTGTGTGTCCGTCCCCACTACCTGAAAAATCCCCATTACACCATGGATATTGCTTAAAATGCAAACATGTTCCACCCTTAACATTTTTCTGAAAAATAATGCTGACGTACTTGTGAATGTTTTGTAACTTTTATGCTTCAGATATAAATCTCTCAAGCAATAAATACATGCAAACATGTTAGCCCAAAACAGCCATGCAATTTCACATCTTGCATCGGCAATCTGGGATCGTCAGGAGGTGGTAGAAAGAAGCAAAATTGGCACAGTGTAAGAAAAGGAAACTTCAGTGAGTGTTCATGCAGTTTATTGCAGAGAACAGTAGATGGAGCCCTGGTGAGCGTCAGCACTGAAAAGCTTACACTCAAGTCAAAACTGGAGCACCAAAGATATCAGGGACCTGATGCAATAACAGCCTTCATCAACCTGGTCCCTCCAGATGTTTTTGACTTCCATTTCCATCAACTCCAGACATCATGGGCTACTGGGGGGCACTAGGTTAGCAAAACCTCCTACGTAACATTCCATACTCAATTGCACCGTCTTGAAGCTCAACATTTTTGAAGGCTTAGATTCAGGTTTTTGTGAGTGCTGGATAAAAAGCAAGAGATTTTTTTTTAATCTAAAGGTGTTTGGATATGAATCTCTGATCTTGCCCCCCACTGCCACCAGCTCCTTGAACAAAACAAATATAATAATAATAATTTATTATTTGAAGCCTACCCACCTCACTGGGTTGCTCCAGCCACTCTGGGCAGCTTATATGGTTTATAACTGTTACTGACAGATACTGACACCCATTTCAGACTCTTGCCAGTGACCCACCAGCATAATGTGGCCTGATGCTGTGAAAAATGTATAGGATCAAAAGGTATGTTCAGATTAGGGCTGCAAGACAAATCACAACCGTCCTTTGAAATTTGTACAACTTTAAATCTTGCCATGCAGTTCTCTAACTGAGCAATGTGTGCAAAAACACTTATACAGTGGTGCCCCACAAGACGAATGCCTCGCAAGACGAAAAACCTGCTAGACGAAAGGGTTTTCCGTTTTTGAGTTGCTTCGCAAGACGATTTTCCCTATGGGCTTGCTTCGCAAGACGAAAACGTCTTGCGAGTCTTGCGATTTTTTTTCGCTCCCCCCCCCTTTTTCTAAGCCGCTAAGCCTTTAATAGCCTTTTAGCCGCTAAGCCGCTAAGCCTTTAATAGCCGCTAAACCGCTAAACCGCTAATAGCGCTAAGCCACTAATAGGGTTGCTTCGCAAGACGAAAAAACCGCTAGGCGAAGAGACTCGCGGAACAGATTATTTTCGTCTTGCGAGGCACCACTGTAATGAGCAGAAATGCAGCTTCATCAATGGAAATAGCAGGCAATACAATGGGGAACCTGTGGCCCTCCAGATGTTCCTGGACAACAATTACCATCATCCCTAATCTGCTGTCTAGGGCTGCTGGGAAATGGAGTCTAATCAATGTATGGAAGCAGCGGGTTCTTGACATACAACAATGTAATGTATTAGTGGGAAATACATTGGAAAAAAGGAGAAATTTGCACTAACATGCTGCTAAATTTTCAGGACAGCTTATAAAAACAAATTTGCAATATGGAGAACAGAATTTAAGATTGGAAGAATTAGAAACTGAGAGAAACTAAAACCCACACCTAGTTCAGGTACAATGGAATTCAAACCAGGATCCTTGCTTTCTTGCCCACTGCACTACCGAGATTGCTGGTCAGAAGAAGGTATTGGTGAGTTAGGATCAAAATGCACCACCAGAGTCCTGAATCCCCCAGCCTTAAAAACGGGGGTCAGCAAACTTTTTCAGCAGGGGGCTAGTCCACTGTCCCTCAGACTTTGGGGGGGGCAGACTATATTTTGGGGAGAGAGAAAAAAAAGAATGAATTCCTATGCCCCACAAATAACCCAGAGATGCATTTTAAATAAAAGCACACATTCTGCTCACGTAAAAACACCAGGCAGGCCCCACAAATAACCCAGAGATGCATTTGAAATAAAAGGGCATATTCTACTCATGTAAAAACATGCTGATTCCCGGACCGTTCACGGGCCGGATTTAGAAGGTGATTGGGCCGCATCCGGCCCCCAGGCCTTAGTTTGCCTACCCATGCTTAAGAATAAGGTGACCATCACAGAGCCAATCCCTGCAGATACCCCTTGTGACTAAGCAACAGAGGCACGGATGAGTTTGTCTGTTTCTGATATATTCTTTATGCCGCTATGGTTAACAGATCTCCCGAAGTGAGTTTCTTGTTCTTTCATGCTATTATAACGTATTATATTACACCTTCAATTTGTGATGTCATTAGACAGATTTACCATGCACCTAATGCTTCTAAATTATAAACTAGCTAAGCAAAAGTAGTTGTTTCACCATCATTACACTGCATTCTGAAATAGCTACGGGGGGGGGGGGAATCTATGGTTGAAAGTAGGGGTGGGAAACCTTTCACAGACCAAGGCCACATTCCCATCTGGGTGACCTTCCAGGAGACGCATCCCAGTGATGTGCAAGGCCAGAGGCAAAAGTAAACCAAGCACTGTGTGTAAATTTTACCTTTCTATAGCAGTCTGGTTTCTACACACATTCACACCCCTTCTCTATCCTTGATTCAGGCAACTGAGAGGTATTATAAGAGTCCAAGGACACATTCAAGCCAGGCTTCAGTACCTGCATCAGATTTCAGTTTGAGTTTATTTGTTGGTGCTTTTAAAGCACCAGTCCAACAAAAGCTTTAGACATGAAAGTAGCTAAAGTCTTGCATATTGCACATTTTGTTTGGCAGATAAGGCAGGACTCCTACAATCTGTGCATTTCTAGTCTGCACTAATTCCAAAATATGGATTTCCAGCCTGACTTAAAAATAGATGTAGAAGAATGCTTGAAATAGCCTACATTCCTATCAACAAGTGATAACCAACTAACCTTGTGGTGTTAAAGCTCAGGCAGAACGCTGGTCTAGAAAGGAAGACATTAGACTGTGCCTTCGGTGCCTGAGGTTGCATCCATAGTTACAATTACTGCCCCATATTGCTAAAGCACGGGGTCTTTAGGAACCAATCTTGGAAGGTCAGTATGATTCCATCTAAAAGCCAACATGGTCCCTTGCTTGGGAAGGGAATAGTTTTTTAATAAAAAAAATAGAATGAGTAGGGCAGTTTTGAAGTTCAGGTGGAAGAAAAATGAAGACTGAGAACCTTGTGTAAGCCACACAAATCACATCTGAGCATCAGGATCTGTACTACTCAAGTGTTCAGTCTAGCAATCCTTTCAATGTGCTTGTGATGCAGGACAAGCTTTTATTAGCTACACAACGTGCATTTAAAAAGCACAATATCTAATCCTGAACAGAGGGAAAGAGGGCACTGTGACATAACATTTTCCAACAGCTGCCATAACAACATGCTCTTGCCAGACAACTGCAGAATGCTGGAGACAGGCCTGCACATTTCCAGCTCCAAGTCTAGCTACTGTGTTTGAAATATCAAAGCATAAGCCACCACACCAGTCTACACTGCAACATATCCTTTTCTGACTCTGTCAAACCACAATAATGCTTCAAAAAGTTATTCTGGTGGCTAAAAGGGGTGTTCCTGGGTCTTAATCAGCACTGTAGCAGGGAAAGGGGCAACATATTAGCAGAGCATGGAGTTAGTAGAAGCTGAATGCAGAGAACCTCTTGCCATACTGCTGCTAAAGAAATTCATATGCCCGGGGAACTAATATTTGGCCTGTTTTAGGCAAGAGTTGCACTTGTTTACAGACCAAGAGAGGGGATAGAGCCATCTTGGTCACTAAAGCAAATACTGGCATGTATCTGTGTACAAAGTGCCCTCCATCAGCTGAGACGGGTGTGTCAGCTACAACCCCTCTAAAACAGAGATAATCTGTCCACAAATATCCATCGGCCAGACTAGGCTACTACTATGTATTATGTAGGGCTGCCTTTGAAGGCTTCTCAAAACTTCATCAAAATATTGTTTCGAGCCTATGAAATGAAACTCATCAATTAGAATATGTCTCATATCTTCAACAACCATACTGACTCCCAGGCCTTTTCCAAACAAGATTCAAAGTGCTGGTGTTTACCTTTAAAGCTGCATGTGGCTTTGGACTGGTGTGCCTGAAGGAGTGCTTCTCATGCACAAACCTGCCTTCTTCAGGTGCTCCCAACTGAGTAGCAGCCAATGAAAAATATTTTATCAATTATGGCATAGGACCTTTGAAATGCTTCCCTGCCCAGAGGCCCACTTAGTACCTGCTCAAAGGTATTTTTGGCATCACACAAAGGCTTTTTAAATTTTCCTGGGCCCTTTACCATATTGGTCAAATTGGGTTTTATTCTGTTCCAGTGGTGTGCCTATTGTTTCTGCTTTTTTGTTGTTTGATATAGGGTTTTCTTGTTGTTAAGTTGT